TGGGCCTCCACTCAAGTACTCCCTCAACACAAGAATACTTTCTTCTAGTAAATTGGCATTCTATGATGCTCACCTTCCCGACACAACCGCTGATGACAAAGCGGGTGAATAAGCAAATGTGGTGAAGAAAGCTGATGGTGCCTGGCTATCAAAAGATATAGCGTCTGGGGTCTTAAAATCCTCCTTTAAATACTGGAATTGCACTGGGCTGATTTAGTGTTCACTCTGTGCAACAGAGAGCTCTGAGACCTCTAGAGGAGGACTGGGAGATTCAGTAGTTACATTCCAGGGTGACTCGTTATGGTGAAGCGAAATTTCTTGCTGCGGTTCTTCAGTTCATACTTTTCTAACTCTCACCAAGAGACTGGGTGGGAGCAGATAAATAAGATGTAGAAGACACTAACTCTGGGATTGGTCAGTTTTGCCATTTTGTTGTGTATAAGATCAAGCCATCTCAAGCAGGAACAGAGAATCTCATGCCCATCAACATAGAATAGCTACCAGCAAGCAGATGACATGCAACAGTTCAAGCACTAAGACTATGAGACAGAGGGGTGGGTTTACAGACACATGAACAAGTACAACTTAATGCCTTCACGTTGGAGGCTTGTTTGAAGAGTAGGGTGCCCTTTGGGCATCTATCTGCAATAAAGGAGCTTTGTAACACTTGCTCAAGCAGGGCAGAGGCCAAGGCCACATGACTGAGAGGCTGAGGACCAGAGCTAGATGGAAGAACAGAAAGCACCATGCCTGCTTGCATGGCTGGGAATGTGCTGTGGAGAAGAGGGTCATTATCCTTACTGTTTCCTGATCCTGACTTGAAGTAAACTATTCATTTCCCTAATCAACCCCTTAATTGTGAGTATTGTCTATGAGTAGTATGTGGCCATTGCTATGGATTATCGAATCAAGCAGATTCAAGAGTGCTGTGGGGGGGACTGTTGGTGGCCAAATAGGGTAAAAGAAGTTGGAGGGTGGAGTCATGTGTGACCTCTACCTCCTACGAATCATCCTTGAGCAGATGTGGAGTTGGATATGCCTTTCTCCTTGGTACCCAAGAAGTCAGATGTGGCCCCACACCATTTCCTCAGTGATCTATGTTCACTTAGTAGATGAGTAAGAAGGGATTTCAAAAAGTTTGTGGAAATTTTTCATTTTTTCACAAATTTTTGAAACCCCCTCAGATATACTAGTATTTCTTTCTTTGGTTTTGCTTAATCTAAATGCTTGAATTTAAATAGAGTAAATGGGCATGTTTCTAACAAATTTTTTTTTCTAACAAATGATTTTGTATACACTTACATGATTCAAAAAATTAATTTTCATGTTTTTGAGTGGCTGTAATGTACCCAAGCATTGTTTTAAGCAGTAAGATAAATAGCTCACACTGGAGGTAGGTCACTCCCTCTCTCCCTGGGGACATTCCTGTTGATAAGACACATGGAGCTACTCTAGAGCCCTGGAACTAGAGGA